TAACCTTGTACATAGGTTTTTGAAATCCGGCAGGAGCGTTTTGCGGTCCCATTGAGAGTACTAGAAATTCATAGCGGCCTTAACAGACGACGAATGCTGTCTTTGGATGATCTGCTGGAGGTATACGAAATTGGTGATATCCAGATTTTAGATCAAGTTTGCTGAAATACTTGTAGCCCTTCCCAAGCTCTTGTAGTAAATCTTCAGCGTGCGGAAGTGGACTGGCATCAGGAATGGTAATTTTGTTGAGAGCTCTATAATCGATAACGAGTCGACCAGGACGATTATCCTTGCGAGGAACAATGAAGCCAAGAGCTGCATATGAAGAATTGGACTCCTGAATGATACCAGCTCCGAGAAATTCATCAATAAGACGTTGTGTTTCTTGTCAATTATGTAGATTACGATGAGGTCGGAAAGCAGGTGGTAAATGTAGAATAGTATTGAAGACGTTTTCTATAACTACGTTGGAAATATTGTGGCATGAATTGTCGAAAAGGTGAGAGAATTGAAGAAGAAGTGAAGAAAGTTGATTTCTTTGTTGATCATCAAGTAAATGTTTTACCAATAAATCTACAGTTTCTTGTAAATGCAATGGAAGAGAAGGAGGAATAGAATTACAAACGGCAGTAAATTTCAAAGATGACGGTTGATAAGGTTTTTTTGGATTATTAAAAACGCGCTGAGATAATTGAGGGTGAGCGAAGATGGCCGACAAAACTTAACGATTTTTCTTTTCGTTATAATGACGACAAAGAGCAAAAATTCGATCGAAGTAGTTCTGTTGTTCAGCAAGATTACTAAACAAATAGGCATGTAGGTGTAGGTGTGGGTTGTGGGTGGGTATGGGTGTGGGTGTGTAGGCGTGGGTGTGGGTGTGTAGGCGTAGGTGTAGATGTGGGCTTCAGTCTTTTCATGCACAGCTACACCCACACCCACACCCCAATGTTGTACTTGACGATGATGTTTCATGAGAAGTATTTACTTTTTGTATATTATTGTTAGTTATTATTTGTTTTAGCTCATGTTCAATTGATGCTATTTCTGATGCTTTTAAGATAGACAAACCTCTCGGATCAAAATAAGAATGAAACTAAATAAAAAAAGACACTACTGCCGATCCATTGATTGTATCAATACGTCCTCTACATAAAAATAAGAAATCACCAACTCTTTGATCAATTTCAATTGGTAATATATTATTATCATCATCGGTGTTTACATCCTATTGGAAGTTATCTTCAAGATCACTTTCTTCATCTTCATCATCTTCAGATTCGTCTTCATCGCTTTGTGGATCGCTTGTTGGACTATATGTTGTTGCTGATTCTAATTCACTATCACCTTGATTGTATTTTTCAATATCCTACAAAACGAATATATATTATAAAGAAGGATGTAGATGACGACCAATATGTCTAAATAGCCCGCTAATATAAACTTACAAAATCAGTGGATATTAATTAAATTTAGATTTCTATCACAGATTTCTTCTCTGATTTACTTTATCCCGAATAGAATTGAAAAATATTTTCTTTTGCTTACTCTCACTTTGTTCTAGTTTATGAACGATATAATTTCTACTTTTTTTTATCATACTGGAGAAGTCTTAACCTTAATTGAACAACAATACTAATGTATCTAATCAGAATTCGGGTCCACCGAGTCCAAAAATATTTGGATCCGGATTTGACTGATTAAAATTTTTCAAGTTCGGACCCAACCAGTTAAATTTTATTAGATACATATTCAATCGTAACTAGATTTAGATATTATAGTCAGAAAGAATTTTGTTTCTTTTTCCTTTTTTTCTAAATAAATTAAAGTCTTTTAGAATAAAACAAAAAAAAATTAAGGAAACTTCAAAATATATTATTATATGCATTGAAGTTTTTCTGATTCAACTTCAATTCGAAAAATTTTTAGACTGGGATCAGATGGACTCTAGTGAGAATACAGTGAATGTACGAATAGAATGGGATCATTAATCGTCGGATATTTCAACTAATTACAATTACCTCTTGTTCTTCATCATCATCATCGCCTTCTTCTTATTCATCTTCAATATCTTCATTGATTTTAATTGTTCGAACTGTTTGGCTTAGATGTTCATCAATATCAATCATATTTGTATCACTTTCTTGAATAACAGTTACTTTTTTTAACCAAATGCCTAATCCATTACAAATTATTAAATGAATTTTATGAGCCATACATTGATTCGATTAATACCAGTGCGACTAAAATAATCGAATAAACCAACTATGTTTGGTGCTCCATCGCACGTTATTGTTGTAACTTTATCAAATATTTGAAGTTCAGTTAATTGTTTTTCTATTACACGACCAATAATAGATGAATAATGACGCTTTCAAAAAAAACTCGAAGAACTGTTGTGTGTTGACTAAATTGGTCATCAGCATAATGTCCGGTTTAAACTAAATAGAAGTTTTGTTTTTTATCACTCCAAAACTCGGTAGTAATAGCAATATATGTAATTTTTGATAAATTATCCATCATCGATTTGAAATGTACTACATGCAGCTGTTTGATATTACGTTGTATCGTGTGTCGACGGAGTGGTTTGCATCCTAAAGATGAATGAAGAGTAATTCAGTGTTCAAAAAAATAACGTTCTTCGATCTGAAAGTCACTAATATTGCCGCTCAGACAACTGTACTAATTATAGAAATATACAGTCTAGAAAAAGGCTCTATGCCGAGTCTATATCTAGAGGAAGAAACTTTGAGGTTTATTACAGATCTATCGAGTTTAAAAAAGATTTGGAACACTCAGATGAATGTTTTATAGATTTAGAAAACCTGTTCAAAGCCTGAAAGATTCTTCCTGGATATAGGCTCGACGATATATCTATTTTTGAAGAGTGTGCCTCATTATAGTGCCTGTTATATATGCAGAACCACAATTAGCCGAATAATTTTCGTTGTTTTCTATTCATACAAGTGTATTTGTTATATGTTTTGGGAGAAAAGGAGCCAAAGAGAAATTAAATTATGACTACGCCAATTGTGTCATAAATAGTCTCCTGTGGAAACAATTATTTTGGTTTTTGTTTTGCGTTTCTGTGAGAAAAAAATTTTGTTTCCGTTGCTACATTCTCGTTGCCGTAGTGCTTTTAGAATTCTAATTATTACTGAATTTTTTGTGCTTGAGAAAAACTATCATTATGAGGCATTAGCTGCTGTTAACCTCGCATTTTGCGCAATCTATTATGGTCGTCAATCATAAAATAAAAATATCGTTGGAAATACATTTTAGTAAAATGAAAAAATTATCATTTAAATGTTAAAATTAACCGATATGGAGAGAATTATTTTCTTCATCAATTGAACGATTGAAAAGAGAAAAAGAAATGGCTGACACATGAACAATACCAAAGAAAAAATGAAATCATTTAAGAAGAAAAGGTAATAATAATGCTATATAAAGAGACAATCTGTAAAATACTCCTTTTGAAAATGATAATCACAAAGAAAACAGTAGTTATTACAATTTCACGACATTATAATGAATAATGAATCAAATTACTTAATTCTTGTTGATGGGTATGTTTTATTTATTTTTCATTACTAAGTGATGCAAAAGTCTTTGGAAGAATGTCAAAGTCTATTTATCAACAATTTGGCATAATATTAACTTCGACACTTTCTTTAAAGAGCAAAGTTCGGAGCTTGTAGGCATAAAACAAAACAACAGGATTTTGTCTGCAAGGAAGATGGCAAGATATAACAAGGTAGTTTTATCCGCTGATAACAGCTGTGTTATTCACTATACGTGTAAGTATATGACAAGTAGAAAAAAAAGCAAATTAGTTGAAATAAGTCGGGTTTCCAATAAGTGGGAAGTCTTTTTGACAATATTGAGTTTATGGATAGTTGTCCATACGCTTGAATTATTAATTTCTTTTTTAACTGCGAACAATGCCAACCAAAGAAGGTATCAGAGAACGGGCGATATTTGGTTTTGCATCGTTATTAATCTATGCATCTTTCGACAATGAGTGTTCATTTTCAATAGATTATTTGAGAGTTATAGTGGTTAATCTTCACACTTTGTCTAAAATAATAGGAAGACCCTTTAGGGTATCTGTCGCAATTTCGAAGTGAAAACAATATTCCTGATCTGAACTTTGAATTTTTTTTGAAAGCGGAGTTCAAACTGCAAAAGTGACTCTTCATCGTAAAGAAGTTGTATTTCAGAAATTATTAAGAGCGAACACCTCAAATTTAAATCGCATGTGGAGAACACGCGTGGAATACTGACGATAACTAATTTATATCGGTTTATACTGACTTATATCGGTTTATATCCGTTCATGTCCGATCGGAGTGTACTCGGTTTTTCGAAATTTTGAGTTTGATGCTGTGCCAAAAAGTTTTTTTCACAAAAATTTATGTTCTTTCATAAAAAAGTGTTGCTTCACTAAAAAAATCATCTTAGCAAAAAACGTTGTTTTTATAAAAAAAGAACATTTTTGTAGAAATTTTGATGGAAAAAATATTATCTTTTTACTAAGATATGGTTTCTAACAAAAACAACATTTTTTGCTAAGAAAATGATTTCTTATTGGAGCAATAATCTTTTTAATTAAAAAAAAAATTGTAAAAGAAATTTCTTGCAAAAAAATCAAACTCAAAATTTTCAATAGTTGATTGCAGATTCGGGTTTCTTGATCCTGATTACCTATGGTTCCAATTCACTAGTGAAATCTAAGTCAAATCTAGTCAAATTCAAACCCAAATCCAGTCGAATCTCATGTTTGGATTTGACAGGATTTGGGTTTGATACACCTCTATCAGCTACTATTCTTGATTCATGGAAAAGTAGCTCTTTATTCATTCATTGTTGAGCTTGATCAAGTTCAAGCTTTTGGTGTTTGAGCTCGATCGAATTCAAGCTTTTGATGTTTGAGCTTGATCGAATTCGAGTATGTATATTCGAGTTCGAACTCAATCGAGCTTCGAGCTCGAATCGGGACTTCAAGTCGAGACCGATATATTCGAGCTCAAACAGTTTGGATTTGGTGCATGTCTAATCTTAAATCATTTTTATTATCCTTAAAAAAGAATCTTTTTAACCATTGTAAAATATTTCAATACTTGTTCAAATAATTATTCAATTTTTTTAAAAATTATTCATCTTTTTAACTTTCAGGAAATTGATGATAGATAAATATATTCTTCGTAACATTTGTCGATGCAATGAAATTTTAGGACCGCACAAGCAACGATGATTTATTCCATGACGAAAGTTCGACTGATCAAATCTCACATAAATCTATATCTCAATTGGCGACTATACTACAATTTGTTCAATCTCGGATTGAACTGATCATTTTAGAGCGCATTTTACATTTGCCAACATCAATCGATCTATGAATAGGAGCATTTATGAATGAGAATCTACTGATTATTACAACTCATGTATTAATCAATGAAGTTTGTTATTTGAGATAAATTATTTGAATTGCTTTGACTTTATTTTTATTGGTATTTTAAAATCATTTTGTGGGTAAATGTACAAAATGTGGTGGTTCATGAAAAGAGCACCACTGTATAACATATGAGTATGAAACTAATGTTCGCCGTCTTAACAATCTATGCTCATCAAGTGATATTGATAAAGGAATTAATGATTTAGCAGATGAAAAAGCCAAACTAGAAGATAATTATCCAAAAAACTTTCAAAAGTTTTTCATGTAAATGCAATTATTCCAATAAATGACGATATGTTAAAATATATGAGAGTTTTTATAGAAGAAGAACAAATGAAAAAAAAAATTTGGTTGTGAAAATAATGATATTATTCAAAACCTTGAACAAATGATAAAAAATTTTATGCAAGAAATAAATTTATTTAAACAAACAGTAAAAAATGAAAAAGATGCACTCAAACCTAAAATTATATTTCCTTTAGTTGAAAGTATTTATCGATTACCTATTAATGGAAAAAAAATTCGTGAACAAGTCAATGCGTTAAAAATAAGTCAAACTGATATTTCATTAGAACGAGAAGTTTTTGATGAACTATCAGCTAAAGCTAATTCATCAACAATAATGCATCAATTCAAATCTATTATTTCCAACAAATAAATTTGTTTTTACGATAAAACTTAATATGATAAGAAACACTCGAAATAATTTACCTATTCAAGACGTACACCTATTTAATAATATATCGTTTTGAATGTTTTTTCTGTCGGTGATTATTAACAAAAAAAAACGTCGGGAGTTTGTCACCAATCTCGAATCAATAAATTGTTTATGTCGTTTTCAATATTACATTGTCCCGCATCATATTATACCTAGGATTTGAAGTTGATCTCAAATTTTCATGTGCTTAATGTCTACACACCAGTTACAATGCTTTTCGTATATAATTTCGTTACTAATAAAGGCCATCAATCGTAGAATGTTCCAATAAAACTTCTTCAATCTATTGTATAAATTTAGTTCGGTGCGATTCGAATTGCTCTTCAATTTTTTTTATACTGAATATTTTCCATTGTTGCTTTATAATGATTTCCGAGGAGAAAAGTCTTTCGTCGAATGATATGGGAGTGAGGCGTGGGCGGGGAATGTATATGGGTGTGGGACGTGGATGTGAGTGTGGGTGAATAGTTTCTCCTTGGCAACAACCATAGACACCCACACTCACACACGCACCCACATCCTCTTTTGAACAGGACAAGTCTTGAAAACATGTCTCATCCTGTATTTCAGAATGAACAATTCAGGTAATACAAAAATGACAACACACAGATGTAACATGGTTCAACAGCCCAATTCACACACTTCCTGCCTAATGAAAGGCAGACAATGGAGCAACAAAAAAAAGGTATAGAAAAGACAATCATTATCGAGTCAAAACGATTGAAATTACGCCACCTAAATAGCTTGGAAATGCTCATACAACGGAAGTGGCGGAGATCTTATCATACTAACATATACTTGATAATCCGTTCTAAAGATCGATACAATAATTAGGGATGCACTGGTTCCAGTTTTGATCGGTCCCAAATAACCGAATATCGGTCGACACTATGCATAGAGAAATCGGAAAGTCCAGGTCGATGATTTCTGAAATCGCATTCCATGAATTTTCGGTGCAAATTCGCAGGAAAGGCACCATTTTCCGCCGAAACCTGCCGGAAAATGTCAGGAATTTGACACAGAAACCGGTGATCATATACGACTGCCTATTTTACGAAGTTCTGAACAGTTCCGCACGGAACTGCATAAACTCAGTCACCCGATTTCTGCTTCCAAGTTCCTAGCATTTCCGGTGTTTTCCTGCACGAACTGGCCCGTACTTCTCGACTTGGGCAATGAAAAATCTAATAATGATCGGTCCTGACTGATTCCGATCTCAGTTCCAGTCGGTTCCGGTTTCGATTCCGATCAGTTCCAATCGGTTTCTGTTTCGGTTCCGATCGGTTCCACCGATTCCAATTTTAGAACCGAAACTGGTGCATCCCTAGACAGAATCATTTTGATTAGAATTATTCTGATATACTATTGATTTTACTACAAAAGAAAAGATTTCTATGATACTTATCTATTAAAACTCTTTCAACTTCACGATCATTACAATCCGCCAATACGTAGGAAAATGGTCTTAATCAAAATGCTCACTAATATTCTCATCAATGAAGTAGCTCATCAGTTACAAAATCATTGTAGAGTTCATATCAGCATACAACTATCACGATAGATAATGCTAAACTTCAACTTTTTTCTTTCCACTAAACATTTCCATTCATACCTTTACAAAAACTTAGTTTCAACGCTGCACATAAATCATAAATTAATTAAAGACCCACAATACCTTCAATACCATCACAGAGATGACAACGTTCCGTACTCCAACATGAAATATATTTAGACGTGAATATAAAATAAAAAACACATTCTGATATGTCTACAACCACGCGACACAAAAGAACTTTTCCTTTTTTTCCCTTAAATTTCTTAAAATTTTTCAGTCCTCATCACTTTTTCTTCTCGTTGCCATCACGATCACAACCAAGAAGATAAGCATAACGACCAAGACGATCAAGATCATCACGACGATCAAAAGCATCACGATCAAAATCACGATCAAAATCATCACCAAGAAGATCATCAAAACGATCACGAAGAAGAGCAGCAGCAGCACGATCACGAAAAAAATCAGCAAGAAGACGAGCAGGATCATATGCATCTGGTGTGGGATTAGTTGTTTGTTGGTTTAGTGGATTATGGTCGTGTTTACCTAAAAGAAGATTAGAAACACAATTAGTTTTGGATCTGTTGAATGGGGTTTGTTTGTGGTTTTTGTGTCGGGTGTGATTGGGACGCGTGCTGTTTTTGGGATCATTTGTGGTGTAAGTTGGGAAAGAGAATTGATTAGGTAGGGGATTATGGTAAAGACGGAGTAGTGGAAATGTAAGTTTTGACGATTGCTGCCGATTTAAATATAGTGAGATTGTTTGGTTCGTGGTGAGGTTAAAATTTCTAATGGTTTTCTAGTTGGTCGCATGGTTTTAGTAATTGTGGAAAAGTTGGGAAAGAATGAAAGTGTTACATGAAGGGATGAGAGATCGAATATTGTTTTATATTGGAATGGGAGTAGGAGGCTGAACTGAATATTTGGTGGTTTCGGTGGAGAATAATATTAGTTTTCCTCGAATGTGAGAATATGAGGATTGGTGGATTTAGTCTATAAATTTGTTTTATATATAGAGGTGTCGTCTTAATTTTGAGGAAATGTTGGTTGGGTATATGGGTTGTTGAAATGGTATTTTCTATTGTTTGCTTTATTGGAAAATATTTTATAATAGGCGCGTTCTGCTGCGTTACAAATAAGAGTACGATTTGTTTAGGAATGTATTGAGGATTAAATGTAGTAGTGTGTTCTGAAAAATGAATCTTGTTTGGGAATCTTGGGTCATTTTGGTCAAACGGAGTGTATGTTTTGTGTGAATGATACGATAAAGGAGGGAAATATTTCAGGATTATGGAGGTAAAATAGGTTTGCGATGAGTGTAAAATCGACGAATTTTATTAATGTTTTTATCAGTATATGTTATTAAACGATATCGAATAGTAGGTGGATTGATATTGAAAGGAATGAACATGTTTTTGTATCTTAGAGATCATAGTAAATGTTTATGAATCGTTTCTTGTTTTCATGTTTTACAATATGCTTTCTCTCTCTCTATTATGATTTATATGTGATATTTTTCAAAAAGTTAGATTACGTCTGTTTTGCTAATCTTTATGTTGAATCATTGCTTTTCTTTCATAGTATGATCCTCATAGTTGACATCATTTTTGAATTAACGATAGCAATTGACAATTGTGACTGGTATTTTAACTAGGAACGTATTCCAAGTACACGTTTACAATTAAGATCAGCCTCGAAATGTCTATTAATATTTCTAGAAATCAGTATATTCGTCTGTAGCTTTCGTATATAGTGCCATGAGGAATAGTTTTTTTTTGTTTGGTTGAACTTTAGTATTTTTGTTAGATTATATACATTCACTTTTCTTGTTCTGGTGGAGTTCGTAAAATCTAAACACATTCGAACAAATGTTTTTAGACGTTGATGATGTGCATACCATATGATCTCGACTCGGAGTAAATGATTAATTCTTTCAACTTTGCCTACTGCATATAATATTTATAGTTCGTGTCATATTGAATAATATTAATTTATTCCCGATCTTGTTGTGTAGAAAAAAAGAACAAAGACTCTTTAGATATAGAAGATTCTACACTTCAATGGATGATCATTAATAAATTTTTAATGGTTCTATATTATATACAAGGCTTTTATTTCTTATTTTCAACAGTAAGAGATTCATTTATTTCGGCTCGATAAATCTCTACTAATGTCCATTTCAGAGATAAGTGGTCGTGTGTAGTTTTTTAATAATTTTTCATAGGAATGAGATAGAGATCTGCGGTTTTCACCATCGGAAAGAGGAGATAAAGACTCATCGAATCATATATAGAATGATTTTTCTAACAACTTTCCTAAAGGTTTTACATAAAACTTCAAGAAAAATAGCATGCCTCTCATCGTCATGATATTAATTTATTAATTTTTAGGAGTGCGCTAGAACCGCCAAACAAAGCGCTAAAAAACCATATCAAGATTCTATTCCTAACGGCTACCAGTAAGATATCCAAACCATGGAAGACATAATTTCCCACCTCGGTTTTTCAACAAAATAATCGAAAAATGTTAGTTTTTGTAGTATTTTGATAGGAAAATCTCTCTTCTAACGTAGCAGAAAAAAGCAATTCTTTAGAAATGTTTGACTAAGACCTTTAGAAAAGTAGTTAGAAAAATCTTTTTATATATGGTTCGATGCGTCCCCATCTCCTCTTTCCAGTGGTGAAAACTACAGGTATCTATCTCGTTCTTATAAAAAGTTATTCGAAAAGTGCCCACGGCCACTTATCTCTAAAATAGACTTTAGTGGATCAATATTTACCAACATATTGATCAATGCTTTTTATTTCCAAATAAATATCAAAAACCGTTAAGTTTCTTTCAATTATTGAATGTTTTAAAGAAAAGATATGAAAGTAAGTAACTTGCTCGTTTTCTATGAAAAATTTTCGATTGTTGACAATAAAGCAGTTTATAAATCTGACAGAAGGAGATAATTCTTAAGATTTTTCAAGATTCTAAACGACTAAGAAAAATGGGTTTAATACGTCTAAACTCTAAAGCATAATACTAAAAATTCGTGATTGAATAAAAAGAAAGTTCTATATTATTAATATAGGATTAAAAAATGACACATTACAATATTCGAATATGGATTTTTGTTTATTTCAATTGATAAAATTAGTTTGTTGTTTTTAATTTTTAACTTACGGCTGTTGTTTAAAGATGGAGGTGAAATAATGAAACATTTGTTCCCGATGAGTTAAAATATTTTATAGGAATATTTAATATTTTAATTATGTTCTCAAAAACATTCATTGTTATAAAAAATTGAAAACATGACAAAATAAATAATTTTTTCTTTCAAAGAATAAAATTTTTCTAATTGAAAATGAAACATTTTCATTTTGTTAGGTTATCTGAAATGACGTTAAAATGTCACAATGGTTTTCAAATTTTTAGTGTAAAATAAGAGATAGTTGATCTCTGAATTATTTCTCAAACTCTTTGAGAAAAATTTAAGGCGTTGCCATATTTTCTTATAACTTAATACAAAAATAATTTGTCAGTGCAATCCGCTCTATGAATGGCAAGCGTTTGCAAATTACAAGCACGGATTATTAGAAAATTTGTCATAATAGTGAAAATAATTCACTTTAACCCTGAAATGCTCATCTAGGATTCGAACAGACCTAAACTACTTTTATTTTAATGTTATATGCATATATTATCATATTAAATCAAGTCTTTCTAGACATGCTTTAGTGAAGATTAGTAAGATATGCTGCTGATGGCAGCCGTTCATTAGCTTTGATCGATGACGCAAAAACTATGTCGAAAAGCAAACGAACGGTTGTTGAACACATGGGATTCATGTGGACGTCAGAAAAATTCTTTCTAATACTTTTACTATTTTAATTTTAGGCAAGATCTTGTTCTTCCAACTATACTTTAAGGACATCCAGTAGAATACGCCGATAACAGCCATCAATCTCACTGATGTTCTAAACAAGAGCAGCAATGGTTTAAAAATGAAAAGTTTTCAAACTATATTGTATTCTGTCGCAAATTTCAGTTCTAATGAAGAAAGAAATCATGCTTAAATGAACGAAGCATTGGAGTTAAACTTTTCACCTTGTTAACATGGAGTTTTTAGTGGAGTGCCATACACGTAGAAAAGTTTCGTTTCTAAGAGATTGCCTTTTCACAAAGCAATCGTCCAGTGGCGTTATCAGAAAAAGTCGCACTCGGGGTGAAGGAGGTCTCAGTCCTCTGACCACGTCCCTACAATCTGATGGAAATCGGTGGAGACCCAATCCTTGAAACTTTGCCGAGAATGGTCATAAGAAATTTTTGTTTGAGATATTGTGTATTGAAATCAACAATATATATTATTACCTGTTTTCTGCATGCATTTTTCTATACATAGAATACAATTCAAATTATATTATCATATGTAGAAAACATTAAAAAAGTTAAGAGATTCACATTAAAATGAGCGACGGGAGAATTAAATGAGGAGAATAGAAGTGCGCAGAAAACTTCTGATTTGATTAAGATTAAAAGACATTTTAATTTTTTCGACTAGATTACTGTTATTTCTTTGCTATTTATAATGCAAGAAAGATTTTTCATCCAGAAGCATTTTACACGTTCAAAGAAACTTCATTTTATCTTCTTTTTGTTGCAGAAGAAAAATATTTTCATATGAATTGAAAAATCCTTTCTCAACACTTTTGGCTCCAAAAGCATTCACTTTGGTGACGATTGTGATATAAATCATGTTTCTCACTCAACCCCAATAAATTGAAATTTACTTAAAATAAACAAAGCGTTGAATATCGCTTATGCCCATACAAATGAAATTTTTTTCAACGCGCCAATTTTTATGCCTTGATGATAAATTTCATTAATCTCTTATCATCTCAATGAGAAAAACGAAACTGTCATTAGTTGCCAACTATGAAACTTTTTAAAAACATTTGTCGGCGAAGCCGATCATGTTCACGACGATTATCAAATAAACAAAGCTCTTCATATTGGAAGACTTCATAGCCTGTCTTTCAAAGTAAATATCAGAGAATTTTTCAACCAACTAAGATTTTTTTTTCTTGACACGATATTAAAAGAAAATATAATTTACTTCGGTATTTTTATTAAAAAAATTTGCAAATTTCCAGGATTTATTTGCCTTTCCGTTTTTTTCGACTAATAGCAATAAAAGCTTCCCATTATTGAGGTTATCACACTACGGACATCCTATAATCAACTCACTACTGATGAACATTCTGCTAACACTTCTAGAACAGACTTAAGTACCATTTCAGCCAGAATTTGACCTTTTGTAGAACGGGGAGAAGGCCAGAGAGAAACATTGTATGTAGACTAAATTTCTCTCGTCCATTATTGGTTATGGCACTAGTAATTAAACTGACAAATTCTTTTGTCTATGTATTTTTAAAGATATAAGGTCGTCTCTGATTTTACATTAATCATTGCGTTCTGTTTGTTTTTAGTAATTAGTGCCAAAAAATAAAAAACACCGCCATATACTATCCTCTTATATTTGATCAGAAGGGCGATAAAACACAACACTTCATTCTTCAAATGATTAGTATTCTGATTAATAAAAATCAAGAATAAGTATCTTTATAGATGAGGAATTTGGCAAATAGTGCCTCATCTAGCTTCCATGTCAATACATCACTACAACCATCATTAAACTAAAAAAAAGTTTCTTCGAATACCTGCGAATGTCTCGCATGTAAGACATACTTTCACATATCTATTTGTTCTTTTTTCGGCTGATGGTCTCTTTCAGAACTATTATAGTTCCATTATATAAAATAGTAACAATATAGTACATATTTTTTTCTCATTAGACTAAACTTCGTGTGTAGTCCAAGTGATCAACAGGTGCTAGTCTGCAAGATGGATGCGTCACACTTAACATCATTCGCACCTGAAAAAAATTGTTTGGATTGCCATACTAGTACTAATACATCTACGATATATAGTATGGAAACAGGTAAAATATAATATTACTCTTGTTTTATTCATCGAACGAGCAATCATCCATATTAGTCTTCTATACATATTCATTTCATCGTTCATTAACTTAACGTATACGCACTTCATCCTTTCTCTTGAGGAGTATTGACAAATACTACTACGTTTTGTCTAAACTAGCAATTCATTTAATTCATACTTTTCTAATCTCGCTCCTTTTCTCGCTCTGCCTCTGCTAGATATAAAAACAAACAACGATCGTCCTGTTGCTTAATACCCTCAATAAGATTCTTTCACTGCATTAAAAAAAGCATAAACTTATAACATTTATACTAATTAGCATCTATCGAGTTCCAAAGTGGTCAAAGAACTTATATTAATTAGACACCTTTTTTCGTTTGTAGAGAGTATACTCGGTCATTTCCAACTTCAGTCAGCCATCCACTGCTTCCACTCACCCGTTTACTAGAACTTATGAAGGGTGGAGATGAAGGTCGCAAAAATCTCGATTTAATACATATAGGAGATCAGTAGGAAATCAATCATCTGATTGCGAAACTTATTTATGGGAAAGAATGCCGATGATAACCAAAGCATTTGAGCGTATATTTTATCCAACTTCTGTCATGATCGGAATCATGAATTTATTGTTGTTCGCTTTAACGAAAGATGAATCACTTGTCAGGATGACGAGGATGCTTGTTTATAACTACTTCTTCAAAAATAAAGTAGCCAATGGGTTCAATCAATTTCAACAAATTTTACGGCTCCTTTACGTATTTCACTTGAACGTGTTTTGTAAAACGTTACAAATATGAAATTTCATTTAGTATCTTTAATTATCAGAATTCCTTAAATATCTGAATTTCCTGGAATTCTCAGAATTCTCGGAATTTCATTAGTTTCTATGGTTCCAAAATTTCTAAGAATTCACTTGTAATGCATTCATCAATATTTATAATTTCTTATTTGTTTCAGAATTCAAATTTCCTGAAGAGCTCAAAATTAACGGAATTCCGAGACACGCCTCATTTAAAACAAAAAAATGTGTTCATAGTATTTACCTTGATAACAAATCATTTTTAAGATTTTGAAAATCATTAAAATTAAGTCCTAGATTTTGTTCTAAATATACATTTCACAGGACATACTTCACTCCATCTATAAGTAAAGAACTTAGATTTTTGGCATTTTCTATTCGAACATAACAGACTTTAATATATGTCCAGATATTTTAAGTCATAGTTTATATTCTTACAGAGAAATAGTCAATTAATCTATTATTTATTAATTACAATATTATATTGAACTTCAGCATATTTCTATGAAGAAATGGTAATGTCGTCCATTACTATAATCTTAATGCGCCTTATAAAATGAGGATAGTAATGTATAGACAAATATTTTTGTATTTTAAAGGCTATTATAAAAGACTTTTCCACTTACGCGAAAATCGTTGTCTTAATTGCAAATGGATCAAATGTTTGTTCTTCTTACGATCAAATTCAACACTTTTAACACAGAAGCAAACACCTGGTGTGACAAGTTCTTCTTCTTCTGCAGAATATTCAGATAATGGACTTAGATCGGCAATAAAAGCAAATAATATTTCCATAATAAATAAAGCATTTCCAAATTCCTCTGCTTTGTCTCGATTTCGACTACATGATGTATATGCTTGAAATGATCCATAAGCCTCCTTATCTCCGGCCATTTTTGTATAAGCATCGATCTGTTCTTTAGTTAGAGTGGCTCCTCGATAAAGTGTCTTTTTGGTTGTCAATTTTGTATTAAATGGATCATCCCATAGTAATAAACAGAAAGGACCCAATGTACGAATTTTACTTCGCCATACTTTTTCCTGTTCTTTGTCTCCTACCAATCTCATCGCTGCATTTAACGTTTTGTACAAGAAACTTTCCAAGGTATAAAGATAAGCACAGCATTTCCAAACTTCTTCGATCCCTGTGTTCTTCTTTTCTCGAAGCATTTTAGCTAGTTTTTCAGCTTCGCATTTTTTTCCAATACTTTGACCTTCTTCAATAATACCACGTGCAGCCTTTTCGACAAGCATTGGAATCATGTTTGGTTTTTTCGAAGGTAAATCATCTGGCTCGAACTTCAAGTCTCGTCTGACTTCTATTACAAATGGTGATATCCAACCATATTCACCACCAAATGAACGTCCGTAACTAACAGGAAGATCCATAAAACGTGCTTCTCGTAGGTGTTTATCTTCTCTTTTACGTACCACTCGTTTTATCGGTCTTTGCTTGTGATCATCAGTGGTCGATATTTGAAGATTACTTTTGAAATCAATAAAATAATCATCCAGTTGAGCTTGTGGTTGTTTATCTTGAAATGCTTCTTCGATAATTAAGTTTTCTAAATCTGAATAATGACTCCATGTAGCCCGTTCAGACTTTGAAAATGGATTTGGATTTGATTGCCACATCCATTCGACAGTTTTTAAAGAATTATTCAATGCTGGAGGTACATACGAAGCCATAATAGTTATCTACTTGTATGCTGTTTTTAGATGGTACAAATAGGATAATAAAATTTTTTTTTTGTGTTATCTGAAAGTCGAATAACAAATAATAATAGTAAAATTATAAATGAGTTCAATTCTGAAGTCTCATTGAATCTTGAAGTTTGATAAAACTCATTCAAGTCTCATAAATATGAATTATTCTGAAATTTTTTGTAAAACTATTGATAATTTCAAATAATTTTAAACGCGTTGAAGCTTTAAATTTGCTATTTCTAATTCGTATAAAAAAATATTTAACTTCGTCTCTATTTCTTAGTCATTTTTTTCATTTGATATTGATATATACAAATAAGGTTATAATTGCTTGCAAAAGTTTTGAAAATTATAAAACTTCAGCAACACTTATCGAAATCAGCATTATTTTAATTTTCTTTTTCGACTTAGAAGTTCTCTCAAAATAAAGTTATTAATATTTTTTGACAGAATAACACAAAATTTAGCAATAAAAATTAATTGGAATACACAAACTAATATTTAGAGAAATTTTTAATCAATCATCGATGAAAAATTTCTATCAAAATTTCTCTTTTGTTTAAATGAAAACTTGTTTGTTTTTATTGTTTTATTCTAAACAGAAAATCAAATGTTTACGGACGAGATATTTGTTTGCTTTTACTCGACATGAAAATATTGGCGAAGAGTGAAAAACTTTGATTTAGAGTCAAAATTTTACGTTCTTTCTTTTTTGAAAGACTCGAAAAAAAACTCTTGGATCTAAATTGATAACTTCGGACTCCAGTTTCTCCTGAAATCAGAGTTTTATGATTCATTTTGGATTTTTTTTCCTTTAAGATCTGCTGCATTGGCTACAAGAATTCTCTAGAAAAACAACACGAGCAGAGAAGCAGCATTTAAGTTCGGTAAATCATTGTACATGAAATAACAGTGTCTCTTCTATGACATGTCGAATACGAAAATTAATAGAAATGTCAATGAATTCAACCGGGAAACTTATAGCAAACACACGTACAGCTAAGAAAATGATCAAAAATGCCATTCAATTCATATATAAGAGTCCTTGTGAGCGATTTTCGCTAGTGTCAAAAAGCAACGAATGACTTTTGTCTAATTAATACAAGGGTTTAGAAATAGATAGAAACTTCATTAAATCAACCCAGGTGAATGAACCCAATGTTGTAACCTATCGGATCTGATCGGATTCATTCATCCGATAGAATTCGCTGGGATTCTAAGAAACGAATCTACTAATGGATCCGACGGATGAAACCTATTTAATTAATTAAGTACTAATTACTAATTGGTAACAATAGTAGAGATCAGTCAGAGCGAAGTGTTGGACTCCGTCAAATTCCGATAGTAGAATTCCATCGGATTCTAACACTAGGAATCCGGATGTCGTTTAGTTCCCCGAATTCCAATAGGATTTCATCTGTTTCACAGAAATCCATATAAATTTTATCGGATTCCTGCTGAATCCGAGTCGGTCCTATTGTCGGATTGAATCTTCTGTGTCATTGAGAAAACTTTTGAAAACACAAAAAAATAAATGCGGAAACTTCGGATTTAAATCCGAGAGTTATGTGTACTGCAAAAAGTGAATGAGGCAGATGAGTCATCCTAGAATGTGTGGACATCAAAATTGTCCTGGTAAGCCTTTTCTATAAACACTTGATTTCTATTGGCTACTGCTCAACCAATAGGATTTGGAGGCAGACACAGCTCAGATTTGAACTATTCACCTTGGTTTACCCTAAAAAACTCGCTTTTCCTATAACTCGATTTCTATTGGTCACTGCTCAACCAATGGAATTTCGAGGCACATGGAACACAGATTCGAGTTCTCCACCCCAGAAAACCTCGAACTATCATCTCTGTGATCGAAAGATAGAGCTCTATTTATGGATCAATTAGAGCGTGGACAAACACAGAACCGAATTCCGTTTAATTATCTTTGCAATAGGTGAGTTAACTTTCTTGTTTCCTTATGTTTTATATATCATTTTGTAGCTCGTGAAATTCTCTATCGAATGGTATATAATAGTTGGGGTTTTATTTGACTATGATAGGAAAAGTTTTTTACGAAAACAGAGAAGGGTCTATCTTCTCATAGGGAAGCATAGGGAAAAATGACTATTTTTGCATTAACTCAGCAATGGCATGGCCAATCATTCTCATCTTCGAACTCGACCGAGACATTGTTAAGACCAAACTGTGCAGAAAATTTCATCGCGATTGGACTCTTCTTTCAAACGTTATCGTGTATACGGCCGGACGGCCGGACACACTGACCGATTCTAGAGTGTACTCACTTTTTGAGTACACAAAAATGACCTTAAGCAAGAAGCGATCGACTAGCAATACAAGGTAACTCGTCTTTAAAAGCAATCGATTGAAATAATTTTTCCACTAGAGCAATCATTCTTCCTTCGATGAATATGAATTAAATTTTTTCACCTCATCTAGTAACTTAAACGAATAGATTCGAATCTCAGGACGATAACAACTCCATTCATTATCGAATTTTCAAAACTAAACCAATATGAACGTGAAAAGCATTGTTTTTAGTTCACTTTCTTAGTAGGAATTGTAGAGAAATCCTCGGCTAATTTTGTTCCAGTTAAGAGATACACAATCAAAAATGAGCATAAATTTGAAAGATAAGTTCAAGACTAGGAAGTAGAACTCCTAATGTTGTCAGAAAATGAGTATTTAAATATTGAAATCCGTATTATATATTAACGTATATTCTTGAACGGAATTCACAAAATCTAAAAGGAAATATTAATCTCAATTAGACTTTTAATATGTTATTCAGCAATTTTTGAAAAAAATATAATTATTTCAGAGTGATTAATTACGTCACTTATTATAGAAATGAAATAATTAATGAAATGCGAAAAAAATTTTTGAAATGTTTAGAGTCCTTATAATGAGATGATTTAGTTATTCTCGAGATAATTTACTGGTTGATAGAGGACATGGGAATATAATTGATTTCCACAATCGGAGAACTTGTTAGAATAATGAAGGATGTGGATAGGGATGTGTGAGAGTTCTTAATTGTGATAGAAATGAAAGATTTCTTATGTCATATGCATTCGCGTTTACGATGTGATGATATCGATGTTTGAAAACAATAAAATACTTAAGATAGAAAACGTTAACATTCAGAGTGTATTCGGTTATCATGGACGACGGATGTAACAATAAATTGAAACTAAGTCAAAAAACGAAAATGTGTCTGATTATGGTTTTCTTTGACAAATATTGATCAGAATCGAGCTAAGATTGATTATGGATTTAATCTGTTTGTCTGAAATCATCGAAAATCCCAAGGATCTAATCGCTCTTTTCTACCTATCCTAATTATTTGAATGATAGAAAATATTTCTGCACACTTTTATAGTTTGTATTATTGGAATTCAAAATCTCAGATTATAATTTTCATTCATATACGAGCTGATTGGACGAAATCTATTCTATATAATAATTTACATAAATCCATTTCGATTTTATCTTCTCAAAATCCATCAGAAATTATTATTTACTTATTTTTTTAAAATAGAAATGGAGAACTAAGAAAAATGTTTATAATTTTACTTTTGTAAAAATTACATTTGACTTCAACATCATATTTTATTTAAAATCCCTCGTACTCGACAAAATTATTAAATTTAATTCAACTCTTTTTAGCAACTTTTCAAAGAAATTTACGAAGATAACAAATATATGTTTATTTTATGCAAAAAATAAATTTTTTATATAATCGAAGATTTTCTCATTAATTTCATATAGCAAAAGTGGATAAAAATTTTCTGAGTTAATATTTGAAAAGAGCACAAGGTTTTGTGTCTAATCCATAGTTTTTATTTGTTCTTTTAAATTATTTTTACATGGACAAAAATTACGTAACCATCTTCTCTAAAAACTTTTCATTCATCTGTTATTAAAATACTATCAATAAAAAGTTAGATTATTCAATCTAAAATAATATTTTTCTATTACAATGTCAATGGAAATAACAAATCTTATCTAATAACTTAAATTTAAGATTTCAATAAATCATTTATTTCTATTTTGAACTTCAATTTAATAATTCTTTTAATTGAAATCATTAACAATAAGTAAATAGAATTTCATTTATTTTCAAATAAATTGTTTTTTGTTTTATTTTAGTAATCTTCTTTGGAGAAAAACTCTAAACTTTAGAATTCAATAAGATTCAGTAGACAGTTTTAAACGAACATGTTTAATATGATGATAAAAATAAAAACAAAATGGTCAACTCGAATGAATGAACTTAGTTAGAATTTTTAAGATATAGAAGAGAGATCCACAAGAAATCGGATTTGTCTTGGTCAAATTTTCCCTTGAACCATGATAATTTCATTTAGTTCTTCTAGTCCTTTTCTTTCATATACATAGATCTTTTGAATGTCTTCGATCTTTCAAATTACTTTAGTGTTCTTTACGATGTTTTGTATTTTGTTTCTTTTGGTACCTTTAATCATTTCAATCTCTTTAATGATTACAAAGATTAGACGTGCTACATGAATTTAAGAAACTACAACTACTGAGAAGTCTAAATGTGTTAAAGAAGTAAAGAATCAAATGTACTAAAGGACATTACAGCGATTGAAAGAACGAAAGAAATCAAAAGATCCAAATAGAGTAAAAAGACAAAAAAAGGCTAAAGGGATTCATCATAGTTGTAAGGAAAATTAGACTAAAATAAATTTATTTAATTGTGGACCTATACTTTCTCATTATGAGATTATCGACGATTCTGAACTAGTGTTCGTTTTCTTTTTAATAAGTGATAGAATAAATAAAACTTAGTTTTAGTAAACATTAATGAATATTAACAGATGAAATTTGTTAAGAAACAATCAAAATATTTGATCCTCAACAATTAAGAATAAAATGAAAGAAATAAACATCATAATATAAAAGTGTTCTTCATAAAACTATGATTCTATTATCTGATTAACTAT